TTGAAACGATATTGAAGTACAGATTCATTTATCATTCATCGTGGTCTGCCGCGGGAAGCGGGTAACAGTTGGCGAATTTCCCGGCACCTGGCAAACAAGAAGCTGGTTTCGGTTCTCAGGAAGAATCGAGATCCGTCGTAAGAAGTGGGTAAAAAAGAATTGGATGGGAGAGGAAGTTACGAAGAAAGGCGGCCGAGGGAAACGAGGGAAGGGGTTGACGGCGGCTATATGGGTAAAATCTCTCCACTTTCTAAACGGTTGCCGGTATGCGGAAGGGTTGAGGCTAACCCGAACTCTTTCTCTATCCCGGATTTTTTTATCCCCTACCCTCGATGCAAGGGGCGGTTACCGTAATCCCGTTAGGTCAGCTCGCCAGCAGGCTGCCCGTCGAGGGTGGGTGGCGAGTGCAGTTGCGCCGTTTCTTTCTTCTTTTTTCCTTCATTTTTTTCTCCGTTGTCCCGCTCGCGCTTCTTCGTCCGCTTCCTCGAAACCCTCGTCTAACTGTGATGCGTGTAATATGTAATCCACGCGCAGCTTCCGCGTTTCGAGGGTCTCTCCGAGATTTTCTCACGAGCGCCACGATCGGGTTTTTTCTTCCCTTCGGAGAGTGGACTCGGCTTTTTTGGGAATTAATCCAAATACGATATTCATCCATTCAGAAATGAATTGCGGGGAACCGTGTGAAAAACTCAGAGCTAGTCAATCGGACGCTCCATTCAGTTTTATGAACTCATTTAAGAAATATTGCCCGAGCCCGAACGATTTTTAAAACGTTGAGAAGCATCGGTGAAAGTACAAAAACTATCCGAGTTCGAGTAATAAACTAATAACTCTCTAAACTCAACCGAAGGCAGCACTTTTACCCTAATTCAGCAGTAGTAAAACTCTGTTATACATAATCGCAATAAAACGTTGGTCCCCTGAAAAAACGTTTCCTTATTTTTCTAGGCGACGATCCTCGTTTTTACGTCTTCTTTACGAAGTCTTCTGCGTGGCAATAAACCAATCTTAAATGAAGGCGCCATTGTTGTCAAAGACATGCCAAAAAAGCTACGATTTACGTTCCGGTGCCCTTAAATTAGTCAACGCAGTCGACATTCGATTTTTAGGTTGGCAGTCTCAGGAACAATGATTAAAAATGTCAATTCAATTATAGCAACGGGCGAAGGTCTCCATCCCTCGACCACCCCTTGGCAAGGACAAGGGAGAACAAAAGACAAAGCGAAAATGTCCGACCGAACCTGCCATAAAGTCATTACGTTGTGGGCAGATTCGACCACTGTCGAAGTTTGTGTTCGGACCTTTTCCTTGACTAGTAGATTCGCTATCTTTCACCCTTGATTTGAAGAATGGTCGCAAGGTGTTCCGTGATCATTGAGACACCCAAGGCCTGAAAACTAAAGAGGCTGTGTTTCCAATACATATCAGGACAACGTTAATTGCCTGCTGTTATTTTCGGTCGAGAGAAAAGTTCGACTGTTTTCGCAGTAGTTTTTACTTTGCCATTAATTCTTGAGACTATGTACACTATTTCATAGCATATACACATATTTCCTTCGAGTCATTTATTGTATTTGGCAATGAGATTGATTTGAAAGAAAAGCAAATTAATATTCATGAAAGGAAAACAGATTTTTAAACTGATAAGCAGGTATAGCTGCAGAATACAAAAGGTGCCGAAAATTATCTTTCGTGACACGGAGAAAGGGAGGGTGGAGAGAGGGAGGTAAAAGACCAGCAGGCGGCGTAAAACATTTCTTTGTCATGAAAGAAGCGACGTAACACGCAAGGTCGCGAACCGTAATTCCAAGTTTTGCACATTTCCTACGGATGTTTTCTCTTCCGCGTTTATGCGTTTACGGTGCACCTCGCTGCGCGCTTCGAGGTCACGCCGTATTCTTTTTTCAGGGTCCCTCCTAACGGGAACGCGAAAAATTCGACCCTTACCTGCGACCGTTAAAAATAGCGCCTCCCCTAACGTTTCCGCCGGGCGACCTTTTTTCCTGCCATCCCCGTCCCGTACGCAAAGCGTGAAAACGAGATCCGTTCGTGGAAAATTCGAGGCGTCGGAGCGGCAACGACATTGACTGTGAAGGCGCGGCCTCGCAAAGGTTGCGAGGTTTCTTTCGCGTTTCGCGGGTGAACGCGGCGCAAGAAAATTCACGAGAAATCGGCCAGTTCCTGTATTCATTCCTCATAGACAGGCACGTATATCGTTGGGAAAAAAAGGACGATTTCTTGCCGGAAGTCAAGGCCGGGGCCTCGACTTTGCTCGTTACGACGCTTCAATTGTTTCGTATTTCCAATTGACGAATAAAATATAAATCTATGTTAGGGTAGAATTCGTATAATAATTCTTATCATATAATAAGAATTTGATTCGATTACAATCAATTATCAATGAAATTTTGATAATCAAGGAAGGGCTTGATTTAACCCGGTTGCGTTATAAATGCGCGAAATTTTTGTAGTACAGGCCAATTTTTCATTTTTCCGAATGACACAAATGGGTTAAATGAAACGAACCAAAGTTCTGATACATCGATTTCGGAATTTGGTAATTTTTGAAGTTCGAAAACGAGCAGGTACCGCGTCGAAGGTGCGCAGCTCCGGTTCTCCGTTCTTCCATGTCGTCAGGGCCGAGGGAAAGAGAGCCGGGAGTCCGGGAGTTGGCCGGGTGCCTGTGGTGGGGAGCAGCAGGACGAAAGGGGAAGGAAGCAACTCGAGAAGAGAACCCAGTAACCTAGTGCCGAGTCGCCTGGAGGTCTGCAAAAACAAAAGAGAGGAGAGAGGGAGGGAAGAGTGCGTGGCACGTGCTCGCCTGCGATCGGCGATCTCGTCGCGATTAGTCGCGGTGCCCGCAAAAATGAGCACCTCCGCGATTTTATCGGAGCCCCGACGAGGGTGGCCTACGGCGCCTCGTTCCTCGTGCTCCACATTCCCCCACGCACGGCAGTTCCAAGTGCCACTTGCCCTTTGATAGCCGAGATGCGAGATAAGAGGCGATTTTTATTAGAGAGACGATGATTCTTCTATTCGAATTTTATTTATTGTTAATTAAAGGACGGTTAGCCCAGAGTGTTTCCTCGGTTTTTATAAAAAATTTTGCTGAACGAAGAGAAAAGAAGAAAAGGTCCTGTTTAGAAATGACTCAATCGCGATAGAGCGCGATCGGCGAAAATATTTCCTGTCCGAAGGCCAGCAAGAGCGCGAGCCGCGGAGGAAGCGGTCTCGGGGGAAAGAAAAAGTGGCAGGAGGAAAGAGGAAAGCAACAACCACGCTCGATCGGTTTCTGACGCATTTCTTTTCTACGTTCGCGCAGCCAATGAGACAAGGAGAAACAATACGTGGAACAATCATGCATTATTTGATTGAGATTAGAATATTTAAAGAGATGTAGAAGGAAGATGGAGGGGTCGAATTAATAATTTTGTCAATTACTGTCTTTGCTAATAATAAAAAATTATGAGAGACTCAATGATTCCACATGATATTAATTTTTATTTCCGGAACTTCCTATTGCCTTTGTATCATTCCACTACATACTTATGACTCTCGACGAACTTCCGGTTATTTTAATCCTCTCGATTCGACCCCGAAGAGAAAAATACAAAAATATACATCTATGTATTTATATATATAATATATATAAAACTCTGTGTGTGCATATATAAAAACATTTAATGCGCAGCGAGTCCGTCTTCCGCGTTTGTACTGCATCCTTCTCTCTTTCCTCGCATACATACACACACGTTACCGCGCGTTCACCGATGCATTCGGCTATCTCCCCTTTCTCTCGGTGCAGCCGCACATAAACGTAAGCCTTTCGACTTTCGATCTTCCTCTCTCCGTCTTTCTCTCCTCGGGTTCTTCTTTTTCTCCTCGGTTCGCTTCTCCATTTCGCAACGTGCGCGATCACGATCCATCCCGAACGGAGCGAGCCGGAAGAGAAGCGAACGTCCAGGCCCGTGGAGAGATGCTTAACGCGGCTCCCGATCGACCAACAATCGAACGCAGTACTAATCGCGGATATAATAACGTAACACAGTACATTTGTTGTGCTAATCGAATGGTAATAATTAACACACAACGTCGTTATTGGATACAATTAAAGTCTGCCGGCAGAAGAGAAACATAACGCACATTAATCAAGCCGATTTTAACGTCTACCGATTAATTTAATGCCGAAACATAATTGGATACACCGTTTAAATAACGTAGCCACAATATCGTGTTAATTCCTGGTTGCTGCTTGCTGATTAATGCGATAACAAGTATTCCTCGCGGATTTTACATTGTTGCACACGCGGCTCCGCCGAACGAGATTTAACCAGAAAAATCCTTACGATGTTTCTCTTCCGGCATAGGAAGGGGCCGTCCCTCGAGGACGATCGCACGGTAACTCAAATTACGCTGCGTCGAGACGAATCTGCGAGCGCGAAAGCTCAAAAGTGGACGCGGGAAAGCGGCGCGGCGCGGAATTCGAAGTACGCGCGGCGCGGCGCGGTTACTATGTATTCGGTTGAAAGAAGCTACGTATGTATATGTAACAATGCCGCGGTAACTGCTTCCTGACGACCACTGACAGAGAGAGGAAGATGGTGAACAGTAATATAGCGAATAGTCGGAATAATGGATGGTGGATGGTATAGGGTAGGGAGAGAAAATCGCGCTTCTGTGTTTGCTTTCAGCCGCATTCTCTCTCGCGTGCGACTCGTACGAGCGAGTACCGCGAGACCGGGTCAACGAACACTGGTTCGCGCATCGTCAACGAAAATATGGAATTTTATTTTCTTCGTTAGCCTCGCTTGAAACTGACGGACGACTGCCGTTCGGATGACATCCATCTCTCTCGATTGATATTAAAAATCGTCGAACCTCGTCTTCAACGCGGAAGTCACCGACGACCCCGGCATCGCTCGTCCAGGTATTTTCTCTATTAATAATATTTCCACCGAGTACGTAAGAGGCGTTCTCTTGGGACAGGGAATGGCAATAGCTGCTAGATACAACCGTTTATTGTTCGCTTCGAAAATAATACATAATCGAAAGATAGAGAAACAAAATTAAACAGTAATTTTATAATACGTGTCAGGGGAATTTCTGTCAAGAGCTCAATGGTCAGCTGTAATTATAGTGGTTTCATGATCGGTCAGCCGGGGCCAGGTCACCAACGATCTGAAACGCGAAACTCGCGAACGATGATTAAGAGTACACGGCGTAATCGGTCCTGGCCACGCTCGCGATAGCGTAATAGAGAAATAACGCGCGCGTGTATCTTTGCAATAGCCGTGTTCGCGCCTCATAACGGTCCTGTCGGATAAACTGGTAGCCCGGTGTACTGGTAGCAAATAATTGCAACGATCTAAGTAGTGCCGGGTACTCGTGTAAGTAATAGCGACCGCGGCAGTGAAATGGGCGAGAGAGGAAGAGAAACGGTGAGAAATCTTCGTTGAATTCACCGACGCGCCCGACCGATATTATTCCGACTTCGCTTGTAATTCGCATTCGAACAATTCAGGAGTGTCGCACGGGCCAGGCAAGCTTTGAGTAAATTCAACGCCACTTTTACATATGCACTCGTATATTCCGTGTGTACAGAATCGTCTTTACAGTAATCAAGTAACTAATCAAGAAAGTGAATGACAAACATTTTTTTCGAGCGAGATGCAGAAGTTCGAGATCGTCGTGTAACCCCGGATTCCGCATCACTGCATCTTTTTTTTTTAGATTTTTATACGTTTATATATGACGGTGTCCCCTTAACATTACGATTTAAATAATAATAATAATAGTAATAGAAATAATTATAGTAATACACAAAAATAGTTAACATCGTGAGTTAACCCTCTTGGGCATGGAGCGAGCGGAAAGTATACGACGAACGGGCGACGATCCATAGTGGCAGCGGGCGAAGGTGGATCGTCGCGACGATGTTCGGCGCGGTTCCTTCTGACGCAACGCGTGTGGTAGCTGTGTTTGTCCAGTCCTCAGTCCTCGCATTGGGAAGCTTTGGCGAACAGCAACTGATGTTCCCTGGCAGTGCGAAGCTCCTACTCTTGCTGGTTCCTTGCATCTCCTTGTCTCTGCTTAAGGGACGTGGATCGCGCGAATCCGAGAACTCGCTTCGATCACGCCATAATCCGGATCCCATGATAGGCAGTGACGTTGTTGCTAGTCTGTCTGCAAAACGAGAAAAATAGCGAACGTCAGTCTCGTTCATCGATATTCGTACATTTCTTTAAAAAGATTAATCGACGATCGTTGGAGTTAATCGACGTGCAACCGAGGACAGAGAAGACGAGGTCGTAAAATTAGGAACGCAGCGAGAGTGGTGCGCGGGATGACAATACGTTGGGTGAGGCGAACCAGCAGGAGAAGGACGAGGGAACGAGGCGCATACGCGGTGGAATATCCTGATCCTAGCGAAGGCCGCCTGGTGCATTCTAGGCGGGTAAAAACTGCATAGGAAACCAACCACGCCCTGGCGCGTGCACCGGCTGAGGCGTGCGTGTTCCTCAGGGACGCGTGTTCCCCATGCGCGAACCGGCGATCGTTCTTCCCCGGAGTTCATCGATATTAAATTAAACGAGGAATCACGTAAGACATCGATTTTGAAATAGAATGGCTGATGATCTCGGAATGAATGGAATGGCAGCCCACGCGGCTTGGTCAATAGAACACAGTCGTATCGCTAATCGATACGTCTTCCAATCGACGAACGGCCTTGGCGACGATTTCGCCGAGGTCGCATCGCGTATCTTTTTGCGCGTATCGAATTCGTAGAAGCTGACATAGGAAGAAACGTCGCGAGTAATTCGAGCTGGTCTTAAAAATGCTGAGAATCACCGGAAGAGAAAAGAATAGGAACGCGACGGAAAGTTTTTATATGAAAACAATTGGCAAATCATTGGACTGGAATGATCGCGTTCTTCAGGAAATTCTGGAGCAAGATCGTCCGAAAACGACTTCCGCGTAAATCGGAGAAAGCGCTTCGTCTACACGGGCAGACACGGGAAGAAAGGGAAAACGCGTGAAGGGCGATCACTCTCTCCCTTCTAATGCAACGCTGGCTCGCGTAGACGTATTCAGTGAAGTGGTGTACGAGGAAGGGTTACGGGGAAAAAGAGCGCGAGAGAGGAAGGCACGAAACGAATGGCCGCACGCTCCGCGGGACCAGGGGAAAAATAAAACTAGGCAGACCAGAGGAGTCCGTTAGACCGCCTCCGCCGCGGTCGCGACGGACTCCGTCTTCGTCCGCTCGATCGGACTTGTTTCGCTTTCTTCAAGAGGGAGGTGTGTGGTTTGGCGTGTACGCGCGTTGGAGAAGGAACGAGATAGAACGACCTAACCTAAGCCACCAGGAGAGTCCGTGCGCTCTCCGCTCCGCTCTGCCCTGCTCTCTTCTGCACCGCTGGCTGCACTCGGTTCGCCCCTGAACTTGGTTCTCCGTCTTGTCCACGCGACGCGACGTTGACCTACTTCCATGGCCTACCCGATATTTCCGCCGTTCTACACCCGCGAACACCGCGCCGATTTTACCGATACGTCGCCCTCTCGCCTAACAGCTTCGTTCACTATTCAAGACCGGAAGTGAACAATTTTACAGCGTCCGCGATGATTAAAACTGAATCTCGTTTGAGATACCGGAAGAATTTCAAAGTAGCTACCAGCGGAACCTTCAACACCGTCTACGTATGTATTTTAATACTTTGCTAGCCGGTTCGACTACGTTCGAATTAGCGAGGAAGTAAAATCACGACGAATCTCGCGTTCCAACGTGACATCTCGATCTCCTTGGGTTTTATCTCTACCGTTCAGTTTCCTGCTCGCTACTTGGGAAGCGGCCCAGGTGGCCGCGACGCTGGCCTGTCTCATATATTATTATTAGAGCGGCGGTCTCGGGGGCGTTATCCGTTATCTCGCGTGTGCTATCTGTTGACCGTAAGTAGATCTGTAGACCGTAAACGCGATGTAGATAATGAACCACGCATACAGCCTGCGAGAATCGCGATTTCATACATCCTTTCTTTAACACAGGATGACAATTTCTATGATAATTAGTATAAAAATTTAGAGTGAGCATGTACACCTGAAGAATTTGTTTCTTTCTTTTAAATTTAAGCTCTAGTGTCGAATTACGATTTTTGGTCATGGAAGCGGCCGGTGCGGGGCTGGTGAACCGGTACCGGACTCATTGGTTCGGACGCGCGGCAGCGTGCAAGTACCGGGATAATCATTAGTTTATATAACGAGTCATTTCCCGCGGCCACGTGATTTTCTCGTCAAGGCGAGCTCGTCAAGCCGTTCACCACCACTCTGGCACCGTTCTACGCGACGCACCGCTACTTTTGTGCCACCATAGGTCAGCGTCGCCACGCGATTGCCACGTAAAGATGTAGACGCGGCAAAATAGAGAGGAGGCGATTTAGTTTTTAGGGTCGAGACGAGATTCCTTCAAAATTTTCCCTCCGTGGAACCAGTCCAATTTGGATCTCGCCCCAGGCGAACGGATCCCGAGTTTATATTAGAGACGATACCGGGGCCAGAGATTGTGAATCGCGCATAAAATTAGGTAAAGGATTATTCTGAAATTCCTAGGGAACAGCAGCCAATAGGGAATCGTTTCCGAGAATCGTATCGGGCTAATTCGATGCAGTTGGCAGAAAAGAAATGGAATCGGATCTGAACGGGGGACGATTCCGCGAGATTCCGGCGTGATCCGCGGTCGTAGGTGTTGCGAGAGGCCGCGGTGCATTCCACGGGACGCTGGTAATGGAACGTTAAAGAAGCTGCTGTGCTCGCGCGGCTCGGTCGTGATCGAAACGGAGGGAAAGAAGGAAAAAGATCGAGAGAATGACTGTGTGGCACCGCGAAGAAGCGGGGCCCGGGGGAGAGGCAGGGGAGAACGAACAGGGATGAAAAAGAAAGAACCCGCCGCGTGTCCGCGGGACGGGGAGGGAGGGGGGGTTAGGGAACTGTCGACCGGTGAAACGAACGAACGAGAAGGAGAGAGGCAGAGCGTCGAGGCAAAGGTGGTCTTGCCGGCGTAAATGCCACTGGTTGGCATTATGCCGCTTGCCCGGCCAGACCTTCGATGCACATCGAACACATCCCGATGATGATTGCCTGGTTGACTATAATCCCGATATCGTTCGTCTACGATGTCCTACACCCGTGGAGTGAAGGCGGCGAGGAGGGGGCCGAAGTAAACGGTCCGCGGCGAGGGAATTTCGTGTTGCGCGAGACGAGCGAGACCGCGGCGACAACCACGAGGACGGCCCTGGCCCATTTACCTCTGCCCAGAGTCACCAGATACCGCACCAACGCCGATATTGGCCTTTTCAACCTCCCTCTCCACCCGCTTTTCCTCGACCGCCACCTCCTCCCGCTGGTTACTGAGTTTCTCTCTATTCCGCGACTCGTTGCCGTTTTTTCTTTTTTTCACCACCTACGCGGCGACGCGCGACGCCACGCGAAAGGTCGCCGCGATGCCTCCGAGGCTCTCGAGATTCCACGCGGTTCGCCTTGCCGCTTTTCCTACCCTAAACTGCCCGAACTTGGACAAAAAATATAGAAAATATCCGTTCCGCCTTATCAAATAAAATGAAAAGCTTCCATTACAATTGTACATCGGAAGTGGAATCCTAATCGCGCGCATGGACAATACCACGGCTCGTAATCGGAAGTCGTAAAGAATATATGTAAACCAGGAAAAACCTGGCGACGGGTTAGCCTTTGCCTTCGCGTTCGATCGGCGAACGTGCCGGAACGGCTATTTGACGTAATCGGCCCGCGAACGGATTGTAATCGAGGCAAACGGAATCGTAGTGGTACAAGGACATCCACTACGGACGGGCGTGCGTGGAACGGGCTCGTTAAGACATCGGTGGAGAATTTTTTCGATGCGAGACCACCAAGTGCAAGGAAACGTTGCGCCGCCGCGCCTCGCCGCTGCCGGCCGGGATCCGTGGAATGTCGAATTAAAAGTCCGGCCGGTCGTCTACGATCTCGGATAGAGCGGCAGCGTTCATTCTATCCCGACACGGCACGGCAGCCGAAATTACAACGACGTCGAAGGCCCGGGACCAACGAAAGGTGAACGAACCTCCAAATCTCCCAAACGACCGCCGGAGAACTGAAACGATCTCCGGAGAGGAAAAAGAAAAGAGTCGCTACAGGGGATCAAGGGATATAACGATAAGTAGGACCATCCGGCGATCAAACTGGCTAGTGACGATAAAAGACGAAAAAGGTAGAACAGGTAGCGAAACAAAGGATTCTATCTGCTTCGTTCACGAAATGCATATTTTTAATCGCCCGTAGCATCTAACGTTTCGCGCCGCGCGATAATCGCGATTTAATGATCTAACCATGCGAGATATTAACGATCATAATAATCGGCGCGGCATTTTATTATTCTACCTTCTGTCACATTGTAACCGGCCAGTCCGCGCGTTATGAAAGAGGCGGGGAATAAAAAAGGCCAGCGTATTTTAAAAAATCATTGCCGCAATCGATGATTGAATCGCAATGACGCTGCTCAAGGCTTCTTTTTCTCGCGCTCGGAACAATATGACGGAGTCTTGCAAAATCCGTTCGGAAACCGGAAGAAACGGGGCGACGCTCGGCGGTCAACCGTTTTACCGCTTATGTAAATCCGTAATGACGCGTGTTCACCGTTTCGCGTCCTCGCGAGGCTGCTAACCGATAAATCATATCTCGATACGTACCGGAGCCGCGGTGCCGCACGGTGTGGGATATAAATAAAGAACCGGCGTGAATCGATTAATTTCCGCGCTAGATGGAAACCGAATCGATATTGTAACGGAGTGATTAATTATAGAGATGAAAAACAATCTGTTCATTCAGCTCTCGCGGTTTCCGTGATAAATTCAACACTCTCGCTTTCGATACGGAGGATGATCGACGAGTAAATACGCTCATTCATCCCGACGATTTTCCACGCAGCGAAAAATATAAAGAAAAATTATTTTCAAAAATATTGGGTATCTGATTGTGGTAACACCTACACAAATCCCAAGAGAAAGAGAGAGAGTATTTTGCACATTGTAGATATAAAAATATCGAGCAATAATATGTTTAAAAAAGAGCCTCCCAATGCAGCCTGGGATCGGTTGACCGGCGTGGCCGACCAAATAAAGTCAAGCTTTAGTTTTTCGTCGTTCGCGCACGTGTATGCGATAGGTGGTACGTAGGCCGGACAAAGAAGGTGGTGGAGGAGGAGGAGGAGGAGGAGGAGGCCAGTGTTCGAGGCACGTAACCAAAATTCAAATCCGGGGGCGCGATTGTTATGCGAGCTGCATCGACTCGTTCAGATTCCTGTCTGCCAAAATCTGCGAGCGCGCCGGGTCTACATTCGATAGCACCGCCGCGACTCGTTCAAACGACGCCGAGAGAAACGGGATTAGCATAAAATCAGGAACCGTACGATTTTGGCGGGATTAGTGACTCGTCCAGAATTCATTCCTAGCCGAGTATAATCGAATAAAAGTAGCGAGAAGGCAAGCGGTTAGCGCGCGGGAAAGAAGGAATGCGCGAATATGCGCAAGGGAGTAAGAGAGAAACGATTGGCATGCAGGTCGCGCGGTATGTTGTCCTAGGTCACGCGTAAGTCCTCCCTTCCCCCTGCTCCCCCTCTGTATCTATCTATTTCTATCTCCTCTCCCCTATCCTCTCATCTCTCGAATGGTACACGGGAGGACGGCCGCGCGTCGTTCTCATCTCTGTATACGTAATCCGCAAGGAGATCGCGAACCAGAGGTGATACGGCGTGTCGCGAACAAGTTCCCCCAGGAAGCGATTTACGTCCGACCCCGCCGGGGTTTCTATGGGGTTTGTGTGGCCGTGTTCGCTGAACACGCCGGACGAATATCGATTAGGGAGGCACGCGAGAACGCGGCGATAAAAATAATTGCGCGATCGCGTGAACGAACACGGCTCGCGGGCATCGCCGGGCAATACGTGATCGTTTTCCGCAAAACAAAATTTTCAACCTCCGCCGCGGAACGAGTCTCGCGGCGGCGGCGGCGACGCGTCGTGGCAGAATTTTCGTTCGATTTCCTCGGCGGAGACTGTCCGGTTTGGAAATGATCGTTTTTCGAGCGAGAGGAACGCGGCTGGTGGCCGGGGGAGGGAGCGAGCGCGATCGCTTATTCGAGACGAGGAGGACGCGATCGTGAGCGCGCGCGCGCGCGACCAGGACGGTGAATGCCCAAAACTCAGCTGGTGTCAATGAACTCGGCCATGTGAGGAGTCGGACGAGAGGCCTCCTCGGCTTATACTCACTATCGGGGTCTTGTCTTTCCCATGGAACCAAGACTAATTTCGTGACTTTGCGAAAGCCCCCGGCTACCGGCGCATGCACCCGTGCCTGCGTTTCTTTGATCGCCGCTTTTCGGTTCCTTCCGCGATCGACCTTTGACTCTTAACTACCTTCATCGCGAGGGGCGACGAATCCATTAAGGTCCCTCCAATACCCGATTTTTCAGTTTCTGGTGCCATTGCAAACTCTCGGAATTGCACGACAGTGAAACGTTTCTAAGCTCATCCAACTCTGGTAGTACGCCAGAGTCTAAATTCCCAAGACGCGATGCATAAGGGCAACCGTAAAAGGAGACTAGCGAAGACTATGATGTACGGGAAGAGAAGAGATCCTAGACCGCGGAGTTCCCCTAATTACGCGCCGGCAACGACATATTCGGCTGTGTGTACCTGTACCGAGGGCACGACAGAGAGGGGAAGAGAGAGGTGAACGTTCTAGACCGACTGGCGAGGCACCTGCTCCGTAATCGCAACGAGACAACTTCGCCGAACAACTGATCGTCTCTCTATCTCTCAAAATTCTACATAATTCTATTACCGGCGAATTCACCTGCTGAAAAATTACGTCTTAAGTGTTTATAGTTTCTATTACAAGACATGTCGCTGAAGAAAAAATATTATGACGATCGTGAAAATGATGCACAACTTGCTAAAATTTTCTTCACCTGCAGTAAAACCCGAATGTCACCGGATTGGATATATTACATACACGCGCGCTTGTGTATGTATATGAAGAAATCAAACAGCGTTGCGTTCGTTCTCAACCCGATCCCTCTCCTCTTTTTGAGTCGTCGGTCACGCGCGGGTCAGCGAATCTTTGAAGAGGAATCCTCCCTTCTTTTAGCGAGCTGGCCGCGAGCAGAAGGCTTAAACCGAACAAGGTAGAGGTGGTGGAGGTGACTCGAGAGGGAGACGGGAGAGAACGAACGAGGTGGGAGGGTTGACCGCCGAAAGAGAAGTTCAAGTAGTCGCGATACTCGCGATCCGATCGTGTCGTTGCCAAAGATACCAGAGTACTCGATGCCTAATCAACGAAAATCAGGGGGACGAGATTCGAGGAGTGACTCGTACTTTTTTATGCTGTTAATCTCGGAGATTAACTGATACGAAAATTTCAGATTGTTACGTCATCCCAGTCAGGCATTGATAGAAGTAAATTCGAGTAAAATCGTTTCGAGAACATTGAAAATCTGCAAAGAATTTTTGAAAACGTGAATATTGAGAATCGTCGATCCAAATCGACACCAGCATATGTCAGAACAGGTATTACGTAACGGAGGAGGACAAGGATGAACCTGTTCCTATCAGCGCATCGATCGATGACGACAAAAATCTATCGACTGGCCTCAGCAGATTGGCTCCCAACTCTATGGATAGGAGATACCCGTGCGACAGAGAGAGAGAGAGAGAGAGAGAGAGAGAGAAAGGTAGAGAGGATGCGATAAGAAACGAGGGAAAGGGACGCGTTGAATTCCGCGATCGATGAGCCGGTCAGAGTCCGCTCTATAAATACGAACGCGGGGGAATCGAGTAATTAACGGACTCACCTGTAAGCGCAGGCAGTGGCAGTTTCCTCGGTAGCTCCTTCATTCATGAATTTTCTGTACCGAGGACTCAGGACGATGTCTTCCCTTCCGTTTGTGGATGCTCCACTCCGGTCTCCTCAGATTCGAGGTCGAGGTCTCGTCTCGTCCCCACACGCGTCCCATCCTCGGCTCACCGGCGTGTCCTTATCGTCGTCGTCTGCGTCGCTGCCGCCGCCGTCGTCGTCTGCTTTGGTCCCCGTTTCGAATTGTAGGAGGGCTCCTTAATATTGCCCGGTAGGATCGAGACCCGTGCTAGCAGCCATGTCGCGACCTTGAGCGTAGGCAGACGTATCTCTTTCGACTACTTCCTCGTCCGTGATTCTCCTCGACCTACCTCCACGCTTCTCGATCAGTATTGACCGGTCGGATCGAGTCCAGCCATGTTCGCAGGAATTGACGTCAAACGATGAATAAAACTCAGCACGGAAATTGGCTATGGATTCTAGCTGTGGCTCTGGCTAGGATCGGTTGCTACCAGCAGCTTTCCTCTTGGCTCAGTAGAGTCCGGTGGGATCCAATCCAGACGCCATCGTGTCAACGATCGAATCGATTGTCGTCAACGAAGAACAGAATGTGACCGAAGGACCAAGTATCTGCTTCAGTATTGACCGGTAGGATCCAACTGACGAGCCATGTCTTTTCTTCCGGTAACCACGGTGAAATATCAAGACCGGCTTCGACTTCTCTCGGCTGACTGGCGCTGCTCCACTCGGTACGGAGCGAGAGCTGTGTCAGAAAACTCTTGGATGCGAACGAAGACTACGTTTCGGGTTACACTCGCGAGGAATCCCGGAAACCGTGGCACGAGATCGAGAACGAGGGCACAGAGAAGTGTAGCGCACGATTCCAACGACCGATGATCGACGACTGACGAAAGTCGACTGCGAAAATCGCTGCGAGACCGGAACGTGTAACGACTGAGCGAAAATTCAGAATGTACGTACGTAGGTAAACGAAAACTATCGGAAAACAGACCAGCTGCTGTGTGCGTGACCGTGCCCCACAGAGCTCTGACAGCTCGACGGCGAGTGGCTTCGCTTAAGTCTTAGCTGGCCCCCACTTGCCAGTCCGGGGGCAACGCTGATTGGTCGACGCCACCGGCTACACCGGCAATCGGCACTCCGATCAAGCTTTCGGAAAATTTCCCCCGATATATCGTCCGGGACGAGCCCAACCCCCACGAACGTGCCTGGGCCCGTGGGCCCGGGCCGGCTACGTGGGGAGAAAAGTAGGATTCGTTGGTCACTCGAGGAAGGGAGACACTTCCGAAGGATCGTACGCTCCTCCCGGAGTTACAGCGGAATACATATTTTCACGGACGACCCATGGACCTGCGAAAAGATGGGGGTTACACGTGGAAAATCCACGGTGAACGCAACGGGACGGTTTTCGCGACGCCAACCAGGCTCGAAACATTCCTAGATTCCATGTACGTCGTCGGACATGGATAATCAATTAAATCGTATAGATGTTGCAATTAAACTACGACTCTCCACGTGGCGGTAAAGCATGACCGAAAAACAGTGAGAACTGTATCATGTATGTACACGTAAACTCGTTGGGCACGGAACTCGATATGATTCACCACTCGCAGCGCACGCTTTTCAAATGGAATTTCGAGGCACGTACGTGAACGAACGATCGAGGATGACGTTTATATCGTTCGGGTGGTGCAACCACGTTTACGTTCCGTTCCACTTGCCTGCGCCCGCGGTGATCTCCTGTTCGCGGGACAAAAAGCTCGCCGAAGTAGCACGTATCCCGTTTCCGGATACGGGAAACCGAATTCATTCGCACGTTCCACGATTTTCGCGTCTCGGACGGAACTGCGGATTCATTGACCTCGAGTAAAAATCGATTCCCATCGTTATCGCGGTTTGCGAGCGAGCGGCGCGACTCGCGCGGCCCCACGGGAACCGAACCTTATCGGAACGAACTTGACAATCCTCTTCCTGTCTCGACGTCGTTTTCGTTAGATTGCTTTAGCCGGTTTCCTTCTTCTGCCCGTGAAAAAAAAGCTGCCGGCTAAACAAATTCAAAACTGGTATTAAAGTAAACGCGACGCGCGGAAACAAACTTGAGCGTGCATTAAATCATCGCGGCGTCTCGTGCCCGGAGCGGACTCATTCTATACATTCGTCCTACGAACCGGAATTCTGTGACTTCCCATCGTTCCAACCCTAATCCCCCTCCCCCCGATAAGGAAGCTCGTTAGTTGTAGAAGGCTATAGATCTCGAATCGACCGGACACGCCTGGCCGATTACGTAACCGGTCAGAAATGTCGGGAAATCGGTGAAATTTCTGTTCCCATCCCCATTGTTGAATGTTACGCTTTTCACTCGAGTCTCTAAACTGAAAATATTCCTCAACTCTCTCTTAAAAATGATTAATATCCGACACCTATGTACGAAATTGGTGCAGCAACGCTATTTAATGTTTCAGTTGACTTGAATTTATTTATTCTGCAGTAACTTTGTATTATTTTATTGTCGCATACTTAGATGGACTATCTTTCATAACTCGACGTATAATTTCCTTGATCAATATTTCTGCTCGATCTATATTTTCGTTTGCATGAAAGGGCTTTTAGATTCTTTGAGAAATAAATGTATAAATTGTTCCGTTTGACAAAATACATAGCCGATTCGTCGACGGGTTTCAGGTACGGGGGATGAAATTTCGTCGCGCGGACCGATTCCCGATTACGGGGTTACGCTTGACCTGTTGTAACAAAGGTAGCGAACGTCTCGGAGACTTCCGTGGCCGCTACGAAATACGAGCCATCAGCGAACTAACCCTTTTAATCCTCAGTGGACACCGTATTGACACTGGAGCGTCGTAAACACGTCACCATCGACGGATTTTCGTGCCACGTTCGCTCAGGTACTTACGCGGCACGTTCCTAGCGTGCTATTCGAACACGTGGAAGGATTGCGGCCTAGCAAGCGCGTTTATTGCGCATCGGAAACTATTCTTAAGTGCCGGTGCGGATTAAGGGTGTGGCCCACCGTACTTACCGTTCTGGCCCCATTAAGACAACAGGCTACGGCTATCCTCGTTTGCAGCGGAGACAATGACCGGTGGCCCCAAACGGCTTATACTATAGGAAACGACTGCGTCCCACGTTGCGGAACCAGAAATTGTTCATCGAGCACCTTAAGCCTCCCTGCTTTGTCCTTCGATTTTTCAATATTTCGCAATATAATATAAATAGATTTAATTACAATACGCGTTCTCGTTGAATCTTGGAAAATCTTATTCGTAGTGATTAAATAAATTGCATAGATATCTTTGCGTCCGATTGTTAGAGGGAACAAAAGAGGGAAACAAGGCATTGGCAACAGCGCAACGTTTATTAATTTACAGGACCCGAGAAGCTGGGGATCAGTACGGTCCCCGTCCCTATCGTAAATCACTTCCGTTTTGACCCCCTCGGCTCGTGAGACAAAAGTCTCCCCCGTATCAAACTCGGTAGGGACATCAATTCGACTCAGTAGGCAGGGCCCGCGGATTCGTCCGACGAATTTTACGAGCCGCGAGAACCTCGTTGAAGAGGAATAATAATAAGAAGAAAGAACGAGACCGAGACCCTAACGGGCTGAAAACACGGGGATGAGAAGACGAAGGGGAGGAGGAGGAGGAGAGGAGGAGAGGACAACTGGTACACGCCAGCATCTGATCGGGCCGATACAAATAAAGCACGGTACTGGCATCGCATCGGTCGTGTAGATATACATATACCGCGAGAACGTGCAGTTTGTAGTTTGTCGCCCGTCGTCGCTCGCGGCTACGACTTCGTGTTACTGGGATAAAAGGTGAACGACTCGATGGTACTCGTCCCACCAAGCAGCAGCAGCCTCAGCAGCAGCAGCAGCGGCGGCGGCGGCGGCGGCGGCCGCTGCCGCCGCCGCATCCCGCTCTCGACGTTTGGAGTTTGGAGGGGTAGCGTCCTTCTACGAAGTCTAACCGAGAGATACTACTTACACCGGGACAGAAGAAGAAGGATGGAATCATAGGAAGCTCGGGACCGGTGAGAGAGAAGCACGAACGGAGGATAGCCGCGCGCGAGAGAGAAGAGCGAGGGGAGGGGAGTCATAAATTACTTGATCATCCTCAAGGTTCGATTCGCCGGCTACGTGCACCTTCTCGTTACGCCGGCACGCTGTCATTAACGCCATTTTTTTTCCACGAAAACGTAAATCTCGATTAGATCCCAGTTTTGCGTGGGCAATAGTAAAACTAGGTATATTACGAGCAGGAACCCGTCCGGGACGAAAATTGTTTGGCAACCCTTATTACTATTAAAGCAAGTGACCGAGTCGAATGACAAATAATGGATTAACTCACGTTAATAACTCTTAGGACCTGAGGATACAATTTCTCAAGCAAATCCTAAATAGCCCCGATCTGTTTAATTACACCAGGGCTTAGGGCCGCAGTTCATTTCAATCACAACTACCGTATTACGCGAGTAAAATGTGAGAGAATTGCTTATTTTCATTTTACGACTGCTGCCGAAGTTTCAACTATTTCTGCATACATATGCATATAGTATAGCTTGATAACCAACAGAGTCGCATCGTAGATAAGATGATTTTACAGCGGTGTGTATTCATTCAAACGATCCACAATCTTTCCTTCGCGTCGAAAGCATACAACTGTAAGCGTACGATCGATTGTGCAATAAAAGAACAGGTCGCCTACTTATCCGTGACCGTTTGCGCAATAGCCAGTTTCGAAAAGACGAGCCGGCGCGGAGCGTCCCTTTCGAGAATGCATCGGCTCCTACGATAAAGGTCGATTCGTATTGACCGCCAGGCATGCAAGCGCTCCGTCGCCCATAAAACTTTGTGACCGTAAACCACTGCGTCGGAGTGGCTCGTCGAAGATTCCACTCGTCAAGCATTTGATGTGTAGAAAAATGTTCCCGTTCCAAAATAAATCGGCCTTAATTAAACCGCGCCATGCAGAGCGCAGCGTTGCGCGAAGAATCACGGTCGGTTACTCGTGGCTGGAAGGGCCCTTTAGAGAGAAGAGGCTAATTCGCT